ATATATATATATATACGTACGTACGTACGTACGTATGTATGTATGTACGTATGTATGTATGTATGTATGTATGTATGTATGTATGTATGTATGTATGTATGTATGTGTGTATGTAGCTGTGTGTATGTAGGTCACGAATGCGAGTGCTGTGGCCTCGAAGCCGGGTGGAATCCTATCCTCAATAGAAACTTAGTCTTGTCATGGTCTTCCCACTTCTGAAACCAACACAGGATACATGTCAGTGACTTTGTCCAGATTTTGGAGCCTATGCACCCTGTGCTTTAAGAGTGGATGGAGCTATGTGAGAGACCAAAAAGACGCATTTGAAGCCAACCGAATGAGTACCGCCTTCAGCTGCAGACGCTGGCGCTCTGACGTCATTCTATTTGTCGTTGTGGCAACAAGTTTAAGTGCCGCGACGTCGACGTGGCAACATGGTCTGGTCCTCAGGACGGTGATGCCCGTGGCAGCCATGTGGCTCACGTGCTTCCCGGACTGAGCCATCCGGGAGCTGCAAATGAATTTATGTATATTCGGGTACATGATGTATGGCCTTGGCAGAAAATTTCTTTTCGTGTTAATAGGGTACATGATGCATGGTCTTGACAGAAAAATCTTGCCGTGTAGTCGGGTACATGATGTATGGTCGGGCATGCAATTCTGAATTTGAACAAGCCATCCGAAGCATGCAAACTTGGCTCGTCGTATCAATGGCTATGCCAAAAGATCAAGAGCCTGTCTGCGTGTTGCGTTGTTTGCGGACCCATGAAAAACAGCTTGCGAGGGACAGTCTTTGCTAAGTTGAACAAGCCCTGACCCCTTGTTCAAATTGCCTATACGAGAACTGCTAGAATTCTGTTTGCGCACATATACGTCAGTGTAATTTGATGTGTATGGTAACCTCTTGGATTGTTAAATGTTGCTCGTTTCACTTGGAGGCTCTCAGCTTCCAATGGAGGAGCCCTTGACAGCACCTAGGCCTAATTGAGCAATACAACGCCATTGCCGCAGGCAAGTTTTCGGAGTGAGTGTTTGTCCTGCAGTCGAGGACGCCCGCTCGAATTTGCTGCGGGCTGTCATCATAGCAGGTCGAGCAGATCTGACGGAGGTTTGCGTCTTCTTTGGTAGCACCATGGCTGTCAGATCACACCGAGTAATCGGATCGCGGATCACGCCGAATCTGAATTTCAGATCTGCTTTGTATGTGAATTTGTTTGGAGTCGTAGAGGATTTCGTAGCTATGTTCTGCCGTGCCTGCGCTCCCAGGCAAGCTCTTCCGAGGAAATCGCTGCAAGAAGCTGGACTGTCAAGCTGCAACAAATTGCTCGCCCTGTTGGTTTGTGTCTGTGGACGCCTCCTGCCCACCAAACCCACTTCAAAAGGAACATGCCTGCATACTTCACATTGGCAGAGCTCTTATTTCTACATTGAGTTACTGTTGACGTGTATGCATACTTTGAAGAGTGACGAATTTGAACCACAGTGCAGTGTTATCGACTGCGCGTGTATTCGAAGGCGAACACTTGGCATTTTTTTGACAAGCTGCTCATCTTTGCTACATCATGCTCCTCCCTTTTCAATCACAGGCTTTCTGGACGCAGTTTTGGTTTGACTCGCATATTGTTCGGTGCTAGCTTCGCTGCTTCTTGGCTTCTCGACGTTCAGGCTTCTGGCATTTCTCTGCCTTGTGCCTCGATTGCTTCGTTGTTGATTTCTTGATTCTGCGTCTTCGTGGCTTTTCGTGGCTCTTGGCTTGTGTGCTGTCTGGCTTGCAGCTTCGTGGTTCGACGGCTCCATTAGCTACCCATCGTTCTTCGCTTTGACGCCTTCTGGTGTGATCGCTTCGTATGCCCCTAAAGCTACTTCGTGTGTAGTAGCCTCGCAAGGAGACATCTAATTCACGCACACAGTACTTACAATCCAAGAACTATATGAAATGGAGATGTTGGGCAGGACGCCCTGCAACCCCAAAGCTTCATGTTGGCTGGGGACCCTGAAACTTGGGAATTTGTGGGCGGCGAAGCGAAGCCATAAGCCCTGAAGGAAGATGCAGGCAGATCGCGCTTTTTTGCCGTATCTGCCGTATATTGACAAAACGGGATGGCGACGGCTTGTTAAATTCGAAAAGGATTCAGAATTGAAAGGAAGTGGATTCGACTTGAACCGTAAGGACGTGAAAGTGCGGAACACAAAATTGATGCTCAGTTGGTGCACTGTCAGCAAACAGTAGTCGATGCTCCTGAAAGCAGCAAGACTCCTCCCGCCAGGCAGAAGCTCCAATTTCCATTCTGCTAACTGAAATCCGGACATACATGAGCAGTGACCTTGCATGAGGCATTGATACACGGTGTTTCAGCATAAGGCATTTTCAGAGAACACAGGTATCACTCTTGTGTCAGTTCCGTGTTGTCTGAAACCGTGACCCAGCAGAAAGCAGCATACAAACACCTCTTCGCAGTATTCAGCTTGACTGAACCGGCCACAGCAAGGTCAAACAACATGGCTGCGAGTCCTTTCCCGCCTTCGCGCCTCAACACCGTCCAAACGCGAAAAGGGAAGCGTGGCCTATAGCCTTCTGTAGCTTGGAGGTACGTTCCCATTGACCTGTGGCACAAGTGCCGTTTGTTGATCGGAGACGGCTGCCGCCGTCGTAGGAAAATCCTCAAGTCACAGTGCGTTGTCTGCCACCATGACGGTGTGACCTGTTGCCCAGTATTTTACCGAACTTAGCATGTTTGAAATCATGATAATTAATGTAATGTCGAGGACGCGAACGCTTTGACGGCCTTCGACTCACCCAATTTTCCGGAGTTAGCCGTCGTTGGAACAGAGGCTCAGCTTTCTGGCACATCGGCATGCAGCAGGGCTGTGAGTGATATTGCTGCTTGCTTGGACGTTACTGAGTAATGCGGTAGTTAATCTGGAAGACATGCATTTCGTGTATTCATTTCTTTCGATTTGGTTCTCACAGCAGTCTCTGGCAGGTCAAGATTCATCACCGGTTGCTGTGCAATCCGCCCAAAGGAAGGTTTCGCGTGCCCCCATGGTGACATATTCTGCTAGCATGTAGACACCAAGCAGTGAAAGCGCATCTGCACAAGCCTCACTTTTCCAAGACCAGTTCCCGGCCGGAGCATCCCGACCACTCCGTGAATCCAACATGCACATCACACTGTAGCATCTAGTTCGGGAGCATTAAAGTATTGGGCTTGCGGAAGAACTCAGCGTTCCAGGCAAACAAGGCCCAACTGTCACTGTCATCCCCGGTGCACTTTGAGGAGAATGACTTGGCGATCTGCGGAAGTCCCGCCTGGAGATCACCAAAGACACCCAAACCAAATCCAAGCCCTTCGCTAGAAGCTCACCCCCGAACCAATCTTACTCTGTTTGTAACATCTAGATTCCGGGAGACTGCGGTCCTAGAAGCCCATAACTTCTAATCTGCTTAACCTCAAACATTAAACCTTCAACGCCCTTTCTAGAAGATGGCCCCTGCAGCCTTGCTGTTGTTGTGGCAGGCTCCGTAAACTGTCAACCCCACAGCACTTGCTTGGATCAAACCCTGGAGACCCTGTGAGCACTGGGCAATCCCCTAACTCGCAAAACCAACGAAGAGCAAGGCGGCTACGCTGAGTGTGTTTTGCGGCGGTACCGAAATGTTGGCAGGCTGTTTCGAGAAAAGCACTTGAATTTTGCAGTCACATTTTTTGCGCCGCCTGCGGTCCTGAAAAGTGGCCAGAAGCCACTAGTGGTGCCACATTGTTTGGGGACCGCGCATGCACCGATTGGACTTGGCAGCAGAGCATTGCAGCGAGGTACATCTGATGACAGTGACGGACATCATTGTTGTTTGTGTGGTGCCAGGCCGGCGGCCAGTGGGGACAACAGCAACAGATTCAGACTGCACGTTGTGCAAATACTCGGGTTGGAAATATCACCTTCCCACACCCACCCTTTTATTCGAACTCATCACCTTGACCAAAGGAAGGACCCAGTCACAAACCATTACAGTTGCAATTTCAAGCGGCATGTGCAAATGTCTGGGGGCCGGGGGGGAGGTGATGAGTGTCTGAATTGCAGCAGGCCTCTGGAGTTTATATAGTCGTGCAGATTGAGCCGTTCAGAGAAACCTGTGCATGAATGTGCCAAGTTTGCTGGATTGGGGGGGTTATCTTGTGGAAGGCCTATGCAAAGTGGAGAACATCTGTGCCGCAGAAAATCACAACATGTGTCAGCAGCAACATCAGCGATTTCAACCCTTCCTGAAGGTTTTTCCGATGGCTTCTTTGCGGCCCGTCTTCAAGAATCAAGCCTGGGACAAATGCATGATGCGTTTCAGAGTTGCTAAGACACGGTGTGCAACTGACCTTCGGTGAACCACAGTGGACTTCTACAGCTGAGGACAGCGTGGCTACGGCAGGAAATGTGAAGGGCATTGTTCTCATGCTTTACGGCTTACTCGGAAGCAAGGAAAAGTTTTCTGTTGTTTGTACGGGTTCTGGACAAGCTTAAGCTTGACTTGAGTCGTGGCAATTGGAGTCAGGTTGCGGAAACGCGCCTGCACGCAAGACAAGCTTTCTGGCAGCCTGCTCCAAGCTGCAAGGGGCTAAGTGAGGGACTTGCAGAGTCACCTTTTGAAGGTCACCTCCTCAGCAGGGTCGAGCTTTGCAAGTGTGGCAATGTCGCAGGGTCACTGCTGGAATTGTCGTGGTGGCCTGCTCTCAGTGTATACATGGCAATGTGGAGCTGGATAAGTACGCAGTGGGACGTGCAATTGCAGACTGCGGTGTGACTTGGCTGAAGTGGTCACCGACAGCGTGTCTACGCTGCTTGCGATCTTCGTTTCCAGAACGTTCCGTGCAAACTAGCTCAGCAGTGGTCTTCCAGGTGATTCCTGGCCATGATATGACTGCAGAGGCTACTGACCGACACTCAGATTCGAGGCTGTTCTTACTCAGGGTTGTCATGTTGGAAACATTCCTGTGTTTGAAACGAAAGCGGTCTTGACCGTGCTAAGGTGACAAAGTTAGCATACCTGCTGTCCAAGGGTCTGTCCCCGGGCGAGTGCCGCAAGGATGGTTGCAGAATGCTTGCATTGTTTACAAGCCTTGCAGCTAGTTGTGGTTGTCTTTCTGTCTTATCCTAGAGCCGTGGTGTCTGGCAGAACCTTGAGAGGCTATGCAAGACAACTTGCGCGGTGAAATGTTCTCGCCTGCGAAGACTTTAGAACCTTGTCTCCATGGTCAGTGGCTGTTTCATCCTAATACTGGATTGACCATGCATTGCAATTGCATTGTATGTTCGACCACATGTAAGGACGTTTCTTCCTCGTGGATGGATTTGCCAAGTCCATCATGAGAAAGGGACGTTTCGAAGCTTCCCCGCAAAGGGGACTCGACAGCCCCCGATCCCGCTTTGCTGCGAGAACAAAGTCTTCTCGCAGCGACCAGGCCGCCAGGCCCACGAGACAGGGCGAGGCCGGACGAAAGATCGTTGGACCTTTCAGCTAGGGGCCCGCTCCTGGAGAGCGCGTGCTGCGCCAAAAGAGGTCCAACCAAAGAGAAGCAAGGCTTGCAACCCGCCCGCCGCCCCGTGGCACCGTCCCCCCTCCCCCCGCAGAGTACGTTGTATAAATCCAGCTTGAGCGGAGTTTCAGTCATACTAGAACCAGTTTGCGAGGTGGTGTTGGACATGGCCGCAGCTCCAGGTGGCAAGACTACGTGCCCTCCAGTGACACCGCGGCTCGCACCTCATGGCGCCTGGCGGAGGTACATTGGCCAACTCATGCGAAACACGGGCACCTTGTTTGCGAATGATCTACGGCGTGATCGATGCAAGGAGCTCCGTGTAATCATCCCTGGAACTATGCAAGCTGTTTCACGCTATGGCCATTTCCACGCAATTCACAGCCATTCTGGCGACACCACATTGCAGAAGGCTCTTGTGGCAAACGTGCACCGGTTGGGCTTGACAAATGTCGTGGTGTCTGCACCTCAGCACCCAAGGCAGGGGAGACGCAAGAATGCAAAAAAGCAAAACACAAATGCAAACTAAACCCAGCAGACTCCGCTTCGAGATGCGGCGCGCTGAGGACCAACTTGGATGGCAAGAAGCTCTCGAAGATGCTGCCGCGCCTGGATCGGGTCAGAGGCCAAGGAGCGGAGCTGCCGGGCCAGAAGCAGCGGGCGGTCGCTGACCATCGTCACCTTTCTTACTTTCTTCTTGCACTGGACATCTCCTTGTCCTGCTGCATCATGTCGACATCGCAATGCCAATGCAACTTCAAAGTCGACTCATACAATAATCGTTGTAAGCGTGGCCTTGTACTCCCAACTGTCTTGTTGCACCTCATTGTCTCTTGGTGTGATGTCTAGGCACAGGGTGTGCAAGTGCGATGTGTTTGGGCTCGGGGCTGAATGAAAACCAAGAAACCTTCATCAGAAAATCCACTGCTTCTTGACATCCTTCAAGTTACACCGTCTCCCCCTGCAAACGGCTTGCCACTCGCGAGGTTCTCTTGGATGCTCCTTGCACAGGCACGCTGACGTTCAAATTGGGTTTCAAAGAGCCACCAACATCACTTGACTTGCTGTTTTGCAGGTTCCGGCATTATTGCCCGAGATCCATCTGTGAAGGTGAAGAGAGGCCAGAAGGAGCATCTTCAGTGCGTTCCACTTTCACTCAACTTGTGTTTTCCTTGCTACGCTTTGCATGCTGTGCTTTCTTTGTGCGGATATTTCTTCTTGTTGCTATTTGTTGTTCAGTTCCTGTTTGTCCAATCATCTTTGAACCCGGGATCATAAAAGTACTTCTATCAGAAATTCTTCAGCGGCATTTCAGTGCTTGGATGTCGGGTGCGTGAGCTTTCTGTGATTTTTCAGTAAGCAGCATTTGGAGGGACAAGCAGGTGGATGTTTCTGCGGTATTTCAGTGATTTGGTTGCCAAGTTGTTTTTGTCCTGTGATTTTTCTGATTTTGCCACGGGCCGGCGCGACCCCCAAGCGACTTTTACACCAGCTGTTCTCGGCGAACTGCATGTGCCAGTTTGTCGTCCCCGGCAGCTTTGTCTACTGCATTCTACTGCCAGTGCGCAGAAGTTGCGCTTAGTTTCTCCTTCACATCTGTTGCGCTGCTACGCTTTGTGTTACGGGTGGCCTCCTCCAGTCCTGCTTGATGGAAGTCGCCTCCGTTTGACGCTGCTGTGGAAAAGGGTCCGAAAGTTGTTGCTGCCTTTCGAGTAGGAACCTGCATTTCTCAGACTTCATTATCGCAGAAGGGAAACGTGTCTAGGTGTTCCACGACGAAGGAGGGGTAACTCTTACTTTCATGCCAGTCTTCGCTTCGCCAGGGAGAGGCCTTGTTTTGGGCAAGTTACCGTTTCTTCAGCTTCTCTTCGCCGTCTCCAGTCTTCATGTGAGTGCGTGCACATCGTGCACAGGAATGCTGAAGCGAAGTGTGCAGTGCTGCTTGACGTGGGAGACAGCACGGCCATGGGAGTCGGAAGCTTGTGGCTCGTGTTGTTGGGCAGATTCTTTTAGGCTGGGCTACGCAGGTGGCCCAGCGCTTCCACTCGCATCGGCCAGGGCTGGAACCTAACACTGACCTGTGACTGCCACTCGCTTATGCTCGCCTTCTTTCACTGAGACCTCCCTTGGGCGTTTCAGTCCTGCAGTTTTGAGTTTAAGTTTCAAAACAATCTCTTCATTTATTGCTTCCTCTGTGTCTCTATCAGCTGATTATCAGTCTTTTCCCCGACAGTCGTCGGAAAGGTAACGTCACAAGGAAGCTCTTCTGTGACAGCTGCGTCATGCGAGGACTTCGAAAACCACAGCCGTTTGCAAAAGGAATTGCTCGCAGCAGCCATCGACATGGTGGACGCAGGCGAGCGCTGAGAAAACGCATCGCCCCGGACCGCCATGCCAAATTGGGAGGCTCCAAGACCGGCGGATACATCGTCTATTCCACCTGCTCAGTGTCGGTGGAGGAAAACGAGGCGTCCAGAGATCATAAACCGATCGCTTCGCGTTGTTGTGCCTCTCCTGCAGGCGGTAGTGGACCACGCCTTGAAGACGCGGAATGTCGAACTGGTGTCCTTCACAAGCTCCGTAAGCAGGGGCCTTGGCGATCTGGAGTGGGGCTTGGGGGCGAGCGCGTATGAATCGGCGGTCAACGTTCATCAGAGCAACGTCCCGGTATCCGACCCGATATCTTTTCTTAGTGTTCAGTTTGTACGGAAGCCGTGGTTGTGTCTTCGCCGCGGCGGAAGTCGCAACCGATCTCCTGCTCGTGACTCGCACTGTGCAGTACAAGTAAAGTGGCCACTAGAGGTTCTAGCGATTTCTATCGAGCAGTACGCAGCCGTTCCGTGGACATCCGACTGGGTTTCTGTTGGCCTCGACTCGAGAGACTGGCACGTCTTGTATCCTACATCTCATGCCGAAAATTCCCGTGAGCAGCCTCAGGCTTTGGCGTCGAAGGTCTGACGAAGTACCGGGAACGAAGGTTTCATCCTTCGCTCAACCTAACACGCCGGTATTATCCCCATGTGCACAACATGGCCGCATCCCGAGTACAGCAAGAGACAGTCAGTTTCGTCATCACCCTCAGCCGCCGCTGCTAGCGCTGCTAGCAGGTCATGGTGCCGTTTTAAGCGTCTCGTCGTGGAGACGGCTCGAGACATAGTGTCTGTTGCTACAAGGATGGCTTCTTCGTCGCGAAGCTGAAGAAAACATCGAACAAAGTGTCCGGGTCTTTGATCCGAGGCGGTCGACCTTGGTTTAGGTCTGGCTTGCTTGGAGGCCAGAGCGTGCAAAGAAGGATCGCGCAAAGACAGATGACAAAGAATGGGGTGAGGAAAGCTCGGCAGTTTCTTGCGGACGGCTTCATGACGCATCCTAGCTTCTCATGTGCGGCGGCCGGTTTAGAAAATTGCACGAACTCCCGGAGAAGTGTCTTTTGATGGTAGACTGTTCAGGAGCATTGGACTCCCGCCTTCATGGATTCCGTGGTTGATTTCGAGGCACGTCGGATGCCGACTGTGTATGTGGTCGACATGGTACACGCGGCTTCCTCTCGTTCAAACTAACCTCGAGGATCATAGCCTCGAGAAAGGTGCAGATTTGCCCTGGTGGCGCTACTCGTAAGTGCTTGAGATCGGTCTGTGTTGGCTCTTGTCCCACAGTGCCACAGTGTAAAGTCGAACAGTTGCCCGAACGAATCCCTTTCATCCTTGTGCCGACCTCTCGGTCGAACTGTTTTTTCTTTTGTTGCGTCTGTACACCTGACCTGGAGCTTGCGGGATTCGACTTCTGCTCGGAGCAAGTGCCAAAGGTAGGATGTTCTCTCTTCAGGCACTCCGCCTGTTGATGCTCAACCTTCAGCTCGTAGACATGCGACAACTGGCAAATCTTCTCTGATTTCCACCGTCTTTCTGAACAAAATGCAAGTACATGCAAGTACCCGAAAGCTGGAGCCTACCAGCCCGCACCAGATTTCGACATCCTAAATCCTAAGCCCAAATCCAAGACAGGGGCCTGCCTGCAGGAAGCACAGGCCACAGCACAACGTGATAACACGGCCACGGACATCCACGGACCATAGGGTGATAGCAAGGCCAAGTCCTGAGCCGAGTCGGATGATCCGTAAGACCCACAGACCTGCGGCATGATCGGGAATGGAGTTTGGCAGCACGTCTCAAGTACTTTTCGTTCCGGTTGATACCAGATTCAGCAGATGAGCATCAGCATTGTCCGTATCAGGCCGGGAATGGGCAAGCTGTCGTGTGCTGAGTGGTCGTTTTCGGTACTGAGCATCGCTGAGACAAAGCCCTCTGGAGCCGCTTCATAGATTCGCAAAGGCCCGCACCAAGAAGACGTCGCGAGAGAAGAAGCGTCTTCGACGTCAGAGGCCCAGGCTGTCAGGCAGCGACTGCCCGCAACAGTCGCAACAGTCGCAACTGCCGCGAAGCTGCCTTTCCTTGCAGAGGGCGTTTTCTGTGGAGGTGTCAGGTCGTTTTTCGGTTTGGACACGTCTCGCCTGCGAGGAGAGAAGCTCATCGATGCGCGCGGGTTTCAACAAAAGTTTCCACCACGCAGCGCAACCGAAGGCACTGCCAAAGAGCAGGCCGATTGGATCCGATTGGAGAGTGGCAGGTTGTTGGAGTGCTTCTTCTCGTGTCAAACTTTGGCGCAGGCTGAGGCTGAGCCTCGCAAAAGAAAGAAAAAGATGCCAGCGAAAGAACTTCAGAGCGAGGTCAGCGAGGTCAAGCCCAGAAAATCACCAAAGAAGGCCCGCTCGACAGTCCATTGAAGCAGCTTTCTGTCGACCCGATTCCCGGGCTTAACGAAAGTTTTGACAGGCTACGTTTTGCCGCATCCTACTGCTTCGTCTGGGATACTCTTTCACTCGGATCTATCTGAAAGCGGAAGGCACAAGGGCCAGTTCAGAACCGGGGGTGTCAGGCCAACGACATCCCCAACGTCGTCTCTCCCGTCCTCTGGTTGGCACCACCGAGCCACATCGACCCAATCACCGGTCATGCCGCGCACTGTGAAGGAGGATGTTGGGCGGTGGTGGGGGGAGATCTCCACTGGAACAATTTCCTAAACGTCACATGGCTAGGGCGACGAATACATACGAAATGTCGGAGTCATTGCCCTTTTTGGAGTCCCCAGAGCGATGACTTCCTCTGACCTCTTGTGGCGATTAGGCGGCAACGAATAACCACCGTCACCTGCATATTCCTACACCATTGGCTGTCTTCTGTAACTGTCCTTCCCAGCATGATTGAGCACTGTGCATGCTGGCAGGGGTTTGACGGCAAGCAAGCTTGTGAGTGTGCTGTTGTGCAGTGCTCACGAGATATAGAAGTGCTGAAGGTCGTTCATGATTTGTGCCGACACCCATCCCCGTTGGTTGTGCCATCGGTGGCAGCCAGCATGAGAATCCACCTTCAGCAAGTCAGTTGACTCAACACTCGCAAGGTGCTGCCGACAAGCAGAAGGGCAAAAGCAGTCAAAAGCAAGGGCAAAGCCAAGGACGCAGCCTGTTTGTTTCGCTATGTAAGCGTCGCCAGTTCCCTTATGGTACGTCATCTTCCGAACCAGCAGGGCAAAATGAAAAGGCAAAAGCTCGAGGCAGGTGTTTTGCTAGTTGATGTCTGAGGCTGCTGTGCTCGCGGTCATAATCATAACTCCCGCAAGTGGCAGGACAAGGGAGGCTGAGGATGAGCCGACATTGACGGCATTGATTGCTCCACAGTGTCGCTACATCAGGCTCTCAAAAAATGCAAGTGTGGGCACAAACAGTTGGCCGCAGCTTGCATCATTTGGTCGCGGCCGGCATCCGTCACCAAGCTGCGCTCATGCACAAGCCATCATAGAACAAAATGCGCGATGCAAGCTGCTTCACTGCGTTTATCAATCAAATTGGCGAGGCACAGCACACATTCCCAATCAGATGCAAAGTTGGCATATGAGACGCAGAACACAAGAGTGAGCACAGGCCCACACTCGGCCATTTGATGCGCGCTTGTAGCCCCGATGCGTCCGCAGACAGAAAATGGGCAGATCGAGGCACGGAGCATGTCCAGTGCAGCAGGAAGCTAAGCGATTTGGCCCTGCTCAAGGCCTTGGCAACGGCCATCAACTGGGTTGGGCTATGGAGACAAGCGTCGAGCTGAGAGAAGGTCGAGGAAAGCCCAGCCTGTCCGGGCAATGTCTCAGGCAGACTTCGACTCGCCGCTGCGAAGCGATGCCTTAACATGGGTGCGCTTCAGGGAAGCCACTGCTCGGCTTGTGGGCACTCGTCGGCATGTTTGTTTTGTGAGTGCCTCGCCTCAGACCAGTGACGAAGTTCGCCACTACGTGAGAAGTGGAGGCACGGAACTGCCGCAACACCAGGCAAGGTCGGGGTGATTGTATTGTGGTTGTCGTGGTGGTGGTGGTGGTGGCGGTGGTGGTGGCGGTTGCGGTGGCGGTGGCGGTGGCGGTGGCGGTGGCGGTGGCGGTTGCGGTTGCGGTTGTGGTTGTGGTTGTTGTTGTAGACGCCACGGAAAACAGAAAAACCGTATCACTGCTAACCAGTGCTAAGTCCAGAGGCTCGCAACAGGCTCCCTTCACCGACCGTACGGGTTGTCCGCTCGACTGAGCCATTGAGTGCGCCGCGGCCAAGCACCTTTGTGATCCGCCGGGTCCCAATTCTCGGGCCTCGCGAAGCACGCGAACACAAGCCAGACAGAGGTAGGCGGTAGGGTTTTCACGCGTCCGTGGGATTCCGTGGGGTGAAAGGAGCATCGTCTTGCTCAGGCTTCGCCTTGCGAAACAAGCGGATGGCGACACCGCCTTCGCACCAAAATTGATTTCAGAGCATACGCTAGAGAGCCTTTAGGAAGCAATCGGGTTTGTCGCACGCAGTCCAGTCAGGACTACCGGCACGCGTCGCTCACACCAGAACATCTAAGGAAGAGTGGCTTGGAGTCTCCGCTCCTTCCGGACCACTCCACAGCACCGACTTCCACCTGCAAAGCCGCACCAGAGGTGGCAGACTCAGCAAGCTTATCCGGCTTCTGTCGTGGAATGCAGGCCACTTAAGCCTGCAACGGTGGTCTGAGATCAAGACGTGGCTACACACCAGTGCCCAGCGCACCTGCGATGTACTCTCACTTCAGGAGAGGCACTGAAACGAGGCCGCGGAATTGGTGGTCGAAGGCTGGCAGTGCGTTAGTTCCGCCAAGAAAGGAGCCGCAGGGCAAAAGCTAAAGCTCGGCAACGCCGTGGCTAGCCCGACGTTCAGCAGAACAAAAAGGACCCAGCAAAATTCTTGAACTCCCTCGCGTCAACGCTGCGATCTATTTCCTCTCGGGACACGCTATTGCTGGCGGGTGACTTCAACGCCCAACGACATGATCCCAGGCTTGATAGGCAGCTGCAGCAGCTTGCAGGATGCGATTTGTCGAATCCCCTAGCTTGGCTGTTAACACCTGGTGCAGTGGCCGGGCCAGCACCTTCGTCCAGGGCAATACGAACGCAGATCGACTCTGTGTTGACGTTTCAGGCTTCCTCACAGGGACCGGCCAAAAAGCTTTCCCCAGCTTCGGACTTCGGACATGAGCTTGGGCCACTGGAAGAAAGGAGGCCACACTCCTATATTGGCTCAGGTCAAGCCCGCCTGGCACTGGAACCTTCCCCCGCCGCCTCCACGGATGGCATCGGAGCATCGAGCGACACTGCGAATGTGGACTCGTCTTAGCAACTGGAGCAAGACCTTGACTCAAGTGTCCTGACTGATGCAGACCACACGCAACTCCTCGAAGATCTAGGGTCGTGGCACAAGCAGGCCATTAACCTAGCCCGTAAGCAGCGTGCGCAGGATTTGGATCATTATCGAGTCAATGCAAAGTTGATTTCTGAAATTCAGTTCAAGCGAATTCGTCGGCCATGTCTTCTGTGAAAGACAGTTTGCTGTGGTGCAATAATCATCAAAAAGTTCGTGATCGACTCATGACGCCCTTCCTTTCTTAAAAAGTTTGTGCAAGAGTCTTTGCAGATTGCTGATTGTCTGTGAAGCATGGTTCAGCTTGAGAAACTTCCGCCCCCTTTTCTGTTAGACTTCGCATAGTGACGAGCCATGCCATGAATGCAGCGTTCGATCCGCTGGCTGCACTTCAAAGGTGGATTCACTACGCACAGTCTGATCGGATTTCCATGTCCATCGCGAAGATTGTCGTTCAGCGCAGCAGATTCAGCAACCACAACTGGATGTCATCCAGACTCAACTAAGAGAGTCTGAGTAGAAACTTCATGAAGTGACGTCAGCCGTTCTTCAGTTGCAGCAATTATAAGTGATCCATCTAGGGCC